CTCTTCATGTTATCTTTATCTTTACTTTTTCGCATGTTCAGACAATTGTATTAGAGGATTTATTTCGTACCTTGTTATTCAGTAGTGCTCGTGTACTTGTTGACACCAAATTTTGGTATTGAGTTGTAGTAGCATTTTGACTGTATTCTAAGTTATGTTATGACATTCTTCCGATGTTGAGTTATTAGACGATGTTGTCTCATTTTCATTGTTAATCATGTGATTGTTGACTTACCTAGCGGGTTGGATTAGGTGTCGTTGTGGATTTTGGGTCGTTGACATTTCTTGATTACTTTGGGTTGTTTGGTGTACCCGTAGAGGAATTAACGCGAAGTGAAGCAGAGATTATAATGTACGAATTATTCACTTATCAGATACTTGATTAATTTGATGTTACAAATTAATATGTAGTGTACAACTTAAAATATGCTTTTTATTTTTAAACAAAATAAAAGTTTGTTTACTTATGGAGGTTGGTTTATTCGTTTTACTTGTTTAATACATGTATGACTAATATTTAAGTTCTTATTCCATATTCTATCCTACATAAATTAATATATACATATCCCATAACTTATGCATGTATTGTTTGTGAGGAAAAGAATAATAAAAGTAATCAAACATTGTTCAATAAGATGTTGGACTTTATTTGGAGAGAACTCCTTACCATACCAACCAAACGGCCCTTGATGTATGACACTCTTTGTTTATTGTGGTTTTTATCGTGTGTGTTTTCATGTAAGCATGTTATTAAAGGTAAAATTAAAAAATTAAAATTAAGATCTTAAATATAGAAATATACCAATTTCTTTAAGCAAATCGAAAAAGAAAGACGATCATATTAGTTGAAAAAGGAGTAGAATAAAGAATATGCTTTGGAAATGAGCTATACTTAAACGCATGATAGTGTGAGAAAAAACATTACTATCGTAGATATGATTACTAAGGCTATTATAAACCAAGATTTTGGTTGCTCGATCATATATCTATATTCAGGCCAGATTAATTAATTAGCAATATTTAACATGCCTATATCTTAAGTTTTTAACTAATTTATCTTGATTGTTTCCCTAAGAAACAGGAAGAGAAAGCTCATTCTTTTTCTTTTCTGTCACGATCCGGATTTTCCAATCTCGGAGGTCGTGATGGTGCCTACCAATGGGAGCTAGGCAAGCCAAACCTTAACTACTTGTTACGCTTCCGTATTGCTTCATTTTAACAAACACAAGGCGATAACATGATAACAACGGAACTTTAAATATTTAAGCGGAAGTCAACACTTAAATATCTTAAGTCTACGTCTATTACAACTTTTAAAACCTCAAATACCCAAAACCTGGTGTCACAGTGTCACAGACTATCTATGATTTCTACATACAAGGTCTGAAGAAATAACAGTACGCTATTTCTGAATAAGAGAGAATGAAACAGGAAGTAGAGATAGATGGAGACGCCAGGGCCTGCGGACACCTGCAGGTCTACCTTGGGTCTCCGAGTGGACTGAAGGAAGCCCTCCAACTACTGTCTGAAAGTTGCTCCTGGATCTGCACACAGTGCAGAGTGTAGTATCAGCACAACCGACCCCGTGTGCTGGTAAGTGTCTAGCCTAACCTCGGCGAAGTAGTGACGAGGCTAGGACCAGACTACCAAATAAATCTGTGCAGTTCATATATATATATACAGCGGAAAAGAAATACAGAAATAACCAGTCAATGTGGGAGGGGAAAACATGCTGTGGGGAAACATTGAGTAGTAACAGAAGAGCAACAAATAAATATGAGGATCTCCACAATTCAATTGGAAATAGGAAGGGAAAATCATGTTGCCAGGTATAACAAGTATCAACAGGAAATCAGCAATTTAGTGTAGAGAAACCGTAACACAGTTATCAATAAAAATTAGGAAATCAAAAACAAGTGCACGGCATCACCCTTCGTGCTTTTACTCTCTCTCACCAAAACAATACACGGCATCACCCTTTGTGCTTTACGCTCTTCCTCACCCAAATAACACTCACAAGGCAAATAGGGTAAGGGAATCTATAACCTCGAAGTAAATCAAATAACAACAAGTAATGAAAGAAACAACATAACTCGGATATCAACAAAAAATCAGAAATCAACAAATGCACGGCATCACCCTTCGTGATTTTACTCTCGTCCTCACCAAAGCCATCATATTATAAAAATGTGCACGGCATCACCCTTCGTGCTTTTACTCTCTTTCCTCACCATATAATCAATAAAATCAGCACGGAATGGTACGTCGTGCGGCACAACATCACCCTTCGTGCTTTTACACCATTTCCTCACAATAACAAACAATGCACGGCATCACCCTTTGTGCTTTAATCTCTTCCTCACCCAAACAATGATCACAAACAATAGGGTAAGGAAACAAAAGAAATTTGCAATAAGAATCCCGGCAAGGGAGCAACAAATAAATCAATAATAGCCCGGCAAGAGTGACAATNATCTAGCCACAATTTACTTAACGATATCAATAAATGCTAAATGAATAAATTCTAATGCATGAAATAGGTTTTATAAAGATTTCCCCAAAAAGTCAAAAACCGACCCCAGGCCCGCTTGATCCAAACCCGATTCGGATCAAAACCCGATTACCCATTTACCCCCGAGCCCGTATATATAATTAATTTTGGAATCCAACCTCAATTTGAGGTCTCAATCCCCAAATTTCAATATTCTTAGGTTTTACCCAAAATTCTCAATTCCACCATGAAAACCCTAGGATGAAATCTTGTTAAAAGAAGTTAAGGAGTGAAAGAAATAAGTTAAAAATCACTTACTAGTGTTTTGGGAGAAGAAGGAGCGTTTGGAAAATCGCCTCTTATGTTTTAGGGTTTTGAAAAGTGAAAAATAACTGAAAAGTCCGTTTAAATATACTTCTCTCAAACCCTCTTCGCGGACCGCAAGAAATCGAGCGCGGCCGGGAAGGCTTGGCCTTGCTCACTGCGGACCGCACAAATCTCACCGCGGCCGCGAAGCTTCCACCGCGGACCGCGAAACCTGGCTTCAGAGACCTGCAACTTCTCTGAATCTGCAACTTTTTCCTAAGTGTAAAAACATCCTGAAACTCACCCGAGCCCTCGGGACTCCAAACCAAATGCACACAAAACCTCAAGAACATCCTACGAACTTATTCGTGTAATCAAATCATCAAAATAACATCATGAACATCAAATTAAATCTCGAGTTCAATGAAATCTTCTCAAAACTTCTTTAAACATCAACTTTGCAATTTAAGTCCAAATCACGTCATATGACATCCATTTTCCACCGAATTCCACAGAAATGTCTTAAATCATATATAAGACCTGTACCGGGCGCCGGAACAAAAATACGGGCCCGATTCCATCATGTTCTAATCAAATTTCATTTCAAATTTCTTTAAACAATTCCAGAAAACAATTTTCTTTGAAAATTTATTTCTCGGGCTCGGGACCTCGGAATTCGATTCCGGGCATACGCCCAAGTCCCATATTTTCCTACGGACCCTCCGGAACCGTCAAATCACGAGTCCGGATTCGTTTACCCAAAACGTTGACCGAAGTCAAATTAGCACATTCTATAATCAAAACTTATCATTTTTCACAAATTATCATATTTAAGCTTTCCGGCTACACGCTCTGACTGCGCACGCAAATCGAGGTGACTCTAAATGAGGTTTTCAAGGCCTCAGAACACAGAGTTTCGTTTTAAAACAAGTGATGACCTTTTGGGTCATCACATTTTCACAGTGTTTTCGCAATTGGATGGAAGGTCAAGAGTGTGCTTAAATGCTTATAGTTGATCTATATACAAGCTTCTTGGTCAAAAACTAAGCAGGCGTTATGTTTAGTACTTCGGAGTTTTATAAGCTCTTGATTCTAGTAGTCACTATCCGAGTTTCAGTCATGATAAATATTGAAGATAAATATTAAACAGAAATGAAAATAGAAAAGAAAAAACTCAAGACCGTTTTTTCTATTTGACATTTACGAAAGAGTTGAAGGGGAAAATTGTCTACTTCTACATGACGCCAAGAAATTGTCGATTATGTGATGCAATCAACTGCAAATTCAAAAAAAGAAAGCAATTTGATAATTTAAAATCATTCAATGGCTAATGTAGGATATAGCCTCTACTAGGATATTGATGACTCATTTTTCCAGAACCACTGCCTTATCTAGGTTTGGATTAGTGTAAAGTGGATAGAACCTTTCCTTCCTAGCATGCGAGGTGATAATATATTGAATTGCTCCAAAACGTCCTAAGGTCTAACCACTATTCGAAATATTATTATAAGGAATAAAAGGGACAATGACATCAAGATTGGTCCCCAGAATACATATATCCGTATTTTGTACCACAAATTAAGATAGAGCAACTTAATTGGTCTTGTTTGATTAGCTTTGGTGATAATTTTGCTTTACTTGCACTCCCCTACTTTATCGCATCATTCCATTTTCTTATTATAACATTTATTACGTACATTAATGAATTTTTTTCTTTTTTATAGACATTGATGTAAATTATGTACCATTGTTGGAGAGATGATGTAAAGTCTTTACACTTGATATTAATCTTTAAGGTTGCGAATAAACCAATCTTAACTAATGAATATATCGTTTTTTAAAGTTACAGCATAATGTATAATGGTAGTAAATTATTGTACAATTGAAATAGAGAAGAACTTGTTACTGCATAAAGGCTCCAAGATTGGCTCCAAAGAAGTGAAAATCAATAATGTAGCTAATGTAGAAATCATCCTACGAGAGAATGACAAAAAAATAAAGTGAAGAATTTGAAAAACACAATAATGTAACAAAGCCAAAACTTCTAGAGTCATTGAACCTAAATTGTTCAACAAATATTCCATATCTCAGTTATATGGATGCAAAGCGTCTCCGAGCTCTTCATTTTTATCATGAAATTTTTGTATCTTCTGTTAGATACTTAATGGATACAACAAGAAACTAACTGAATATAAAACAGTTCTCCTCTTTCAAAGTAATGTAGAAATTAAATATCTTAGTAGTTGTATCATCCAAAATACATAAACAAATATCAAGTTCTTCATATATGATTCTTCTGCCAGAAAGAATCTCTCCTTGGCTACAAAACACTTGAACAAAAAATATCCAGATACTGTTCAGAAAATTTTAAAACTTGAGTCTAGACTAAGAACCTGAAGCATTACCGTAGATAGACTGCACATACAGATACAGAAAACTAATCAAGGCATGTCAACCAGTTTCCTGCTCAAAGTCATCACCTTCTGACTCTTCACCATTGTCTGCATCATCATCGTCTGCTTCATTGTCAAAGTCTTCTTTATCATTATCTATGTTAGTCTTCCCAATTACGACTAAGTTGCTGTTCATCTTTCTGATTTCATTACACTGCAAATTTTGCAAACATCAAGAAGGAAAAGTTAGGAACTTGGTAGCATTTGTCAGTTGAAATGAGGCCAGACAACTCCTTACGAAAAAAAAAAAAAAGAAAGAAAAAGGAATGCAGTTTTGCAAATGAAAGCAAGACTGAAAGTTACAGAAAAAGGAAAGAAGACAAATATAATGGACCTAAGAGTTGCAACAAATCAAGTAAGAGAAAAGCTGGATCCGACCAGCCAACTATTTGATGCATGCCCACTTTATCCCACTTTGGTTTATCATGGGCTACACAAAGAACATATTTTCTTATTTTCTCCAATATGGCACCCTTTGAAGTCTTAAGCCTTAATGGCGTTCCAGTAAGGGAGAACGTAGACACTAGCCAGGGAAAAAGTCATGATTCAATCTCTTCCAAAAAACTTTTTGGTTCTTATATATAAGTCTTATTGATGTTAACATGGAAAAATCGAGACACGGTTCAGAGAAGCAGGTCAGAATTCAACCTCTTCCAGAAAGCCAATACAAGCTAATCTTTTAATCATTATATTGTTTGTTCAAAAAATTAACCAACTTAACTTACATAAGAATCTTTTTTAATACTGTAGAAGATTTCTTGAGAAACTGTGAAATTATAGCATGATTTTGTCTCCTCCACTTCACCATAATTCTTTCTTTTTTTTTTCTAACCCTCCTTTCCTTCAGCATTAATCCCTCATTGGTCTTATTACTTTCACTGCCTTGTATAGCAAGAAGTAAGTTAGTTGCATCAACAATCCTCAAATTGTAGGACAGGGTGTTCTTCTATACAGCCAACTTAACACTTAGCTGTTGGCTTCCAACAACTGACTTGGCAATTATAATTAAGGGACACAGCACTAGGAGAAGTTTGCCGTCCTAATTTCTCGAACCTAAATAATTTAACAGTTGTTGCAGCAATTATTTCAAACATACAAACCTTCAATTAAGGTAATTGTCACTGGATTAAAACCAGAAATAACAACTTACATAAACTTATGTTAGCAAGCAGCAAATAAGTTCAGATGCAAGAAAACTTACTGATGTATAATATCAAATAGTGCAATCAATCAGTCTCGTGGTAAAGAACTACTAAAATACAGGGATGGTTGAGGCCTGAAGGAACATAGGTTCGGGAGTACACATAAAAAGCTAAAAGAAAACATAACTCATAAAAACACAAAAAGATAGAATGATTACACGTGTAAACACGTAAAGGCAAGTGAAGAAGAAATGTCTGAAGAATTATGTATATATCATGGATTTTGTAGAGAGCTTCACTGCATCTTTTTCATTTTTTTGTACAATGCATTAAAAAACACTCTCTGCAAAGATAAATTTTCATTGTTCTTAACCCAGGGAAGAGGCTAGTTAGAAGAAAGATCCTATAGGTCAAGAGCCTTGTGTAATAGGCATATCATTAGTCCTTCTCCACCAGCTAACCTAAAGTAGCTCTATCAAGCCTAACTGAGTCAATCTTGCTTTCCATTCAAGAATCAGATCCCGGTCCACAAAATTCCTGTCTTACAGTGGAATAGTCCAGCTATTCAAGAGTATTTGAAATGCTAACTTATTGGGCCCCAGTTTTCCTACTACCAAATAAGATCCTTACACAAGTGCAAAATGTTTGCAGGACATTCCTGTGGACTGGCAGCAATGAGTTCTCAAGGAAGACCTTAGTTTCATGAACAAATGGTGTATGTCAAGGTCTGCTGGGAGCCTAAAAATTCTGGATTTCTCTAGATAGAACAAAGCAGCTATTTGCAAGCTTCTTTGGGTTGTGACTCAGAAAAAAGATAAACTTATGGGTGATATGGATTCATAACTTCTAAAGAGAGAGACTTGCCACATTTCTTACTCCTAAAAAAGATGGTTGGGTAGTCAGGAAGATCATTGATGCATAAGATTTGTTTGTAAGTAATGGGGATCCTAGTTTAGTGCTTAACAGCTTTACAGAAAAGGAGAAATTCAGCATCAACAAAGCTTATAAATCCTTCACTCCTAAGTTTCAAAGCATGGAAGAAGGCAGTCTTGGCGAAAAGCATAACACCTAGGCATCAATTCATCCTATGGTTGGCAATACAACAAAAGCTCTCCGATGTTGATAGACTAGAAAGATGGGGGATTCAGGTTGATAAGGGCTGTGTGCTGTATAGATCAGATACTGAGGAAACATTGTCACATCTCCTGTTTGCCTGTCCACATTCAAAGCATTTGTGGGGGTCATGCTAGCTTGGATGGGAGAAAACAGAAGAATTGGCTGTTGGCAGGATAAAGTGCAGTGGGCATCTAACAGGATTAATAACAGCAGGCCAAAGGCTAGTATCCTATGCTTCCTCTTTGCAACTGTTGTTTACCATATCTGGGCAGAGAGGAAAGCAACAAAATTCAGAAGCAGAAACAAGAAAGTCGGCAAAGGATCAAGGAAATTGTTATACAACTTCATATCATAGGCCAGAGAAATTCTAAATTTTAGAGTCAATTGGAGAGTTTTAATAGGTTCCAAACATAGAGTTGGCCAGATTGCTGCTATATGATGAGGTTCCAGCTTATACCCTTCCTAGAAGGGGCTGAGCAGAAACTGCTAATAGCATTGCAAGGCAAAAGTTTTGCTTAGTGATGTAGATACAGTTTGGTTTTACTTTTTCAGAACTAGCTCTTGAATCCAAATGAGCTAGTTGTGTGCATTGTATACTAGGTTGAATATAAAATGTTATTTTCACAAAAAAACATAGTCTTCATCTTAAGTTGACATGGCGCCAGTGTTGTCCAAAGCGAAAAACCCTAAAAGGCACTCCAGGTCAATTGGGGCTTTAAGAGCAACTAAAGTGCGGGCTTTAGCAAAAAAAGGTGCAACTAAGGGAAAAAAATACATATGTGATTCAAGAAAAAAAGAAAAAAACTCATTCCTAATGTCTTTGTCAACAACTAACACACTTATTTGCCGATAATGTGTTTAGTACTGCTCGATTCAAGATAGAACTCATGGGTAATGAGGCGCACACCTTAGCGCCTTGCCTACGCTGAACCGCAGCTTAAGCAAGGCGAAGCGCGTGCCTTAAATGAGCCTTTGACAACACCGCATGGTGCTGTTAATACTTAATATTCTCATCATAATTACATAAACATTTCCATTTGTATTTTTTTATTTCTTCAAACATTGTATCACTTAAGACCACACACTTGGTTCATCACTTTTGTATATTTCATTTATCGCATAAGAATAATAAAGGAAGCTATAAACTATGGTCCAAGTTGATTAAGGCTAGAAACCTTTCAAGAATATACTTACTTTGTTTATGAAAGCTAGAAATTATGGTCCAAGTTGGTTAAGCCTAGAAACCTTTCAAGAATATATTTACTTTGAGACGGACATTTCTAGTGTTTAATTATTCTTATTTGTGGCTCCCCTACCCAATCAAGATTAATTTTGTGTAGGATGTAGTATCACATTCTCCATATAAACTAGTTCACCTCGAACCCTAATACAAATTAACAATTTCTTTCAAGCAAGTATAACCTATATAATAACAACATATTTACCAGCAGTAATACTGAGGAAGAATGTATCAAGTTACTTACCAATAGGAAAAAAGAACCTTATGTTACTTCCCTGAGTTCCCCCAGCAATTTTCGACGAGACAAGCACTTCTAAATATTTAAAATAATAATAGGACCTAATTATCAACATTTGATACCCTATAAATGCATCGACAAGTAACACAATAATGATAAGCTAGTTCACCTTGAATTCTAATACAAAAAAAGGTTATTTAAAGCAAGCATAATTTATATTATGTAGCAACATATTTACCAGCAGTAATATACTCATTAACCCAATTAGTCAATATTTGGAGACAAAATGAAGAAAAATACTTCATTACCTACCGATCAAAACAAAAAAAGGAAGTTACTTAAGCTACTCCCCCAGCAATTCAGAACAAAAGAGACAAGCACAACTAAATATTTATAATAAGATCAAACTGTCAACAGTTGGGAGAAATTAGGGAAAACGGACCTTTTCTTCAAAATCAGATTCCTCCATAGCAAGGAGGAGCTCGTCGCTCTGAGGCTGGGGCCACTGCGCTGGTAGCAGAAACGATGTCGGAATGATCCGAGTAGAACAAGGATACTGTAACATGAACGATGGATACTGCAACATTTTCCTTTCCTTTCTTCCCCGCTCTCTACTCCTGCTTTCCTCACTCTCCTCTGTTTCTATGCACCTTTTGAGTTTGTATTGGGCCTTTTTTGTTTGGGGGGTCCAAAAAGCCCCATTCTTTCTTATGGAAACTCTAGTTTTTAGTATTTTCGCAGTATGCCCGCTGGAATTTGGAAATACCAGTTAATATCAAATACAATTAAAATATTTATTTTAACCTTTTTGTTATAAATAGAATTCTATTTAAGGTGAATGTCTATATTCTAGAGAGACTCTAGGATTTATTACTTGGTGGTTAAGTCACTCTCTCCCTATAAATAGAGGGTTCTATTCCATTATAAATCATCCCGAAATCAATAAGAGTTCTCTCTCTACTTTTCTCTGCAATATTCTTCTTCTTCTTTTATTGTTTCATACACGTTATCAGCACGAGACTAACCAATTGAGTAGAAGCTTTGGGATTGAGCATAACGATTGTCAATTGTTCTATGAACTTCCTTCATGATTAAATTCTGAATTTAAGGTAAGTATTTTA